TCCGAGTGCTGCTGCTCCCAGCTGCTGCGCCGGTGAAACTGTGCCCGACCGTTCCCGACGGATTCACTTGGAAGGTGGTAAAGGGGAAAACCTGAGTGTTTGGAGAGAGGCAGCAAGAATAGGCACGATAAAGATTACTCTGGATGCTCAGTTTGTCATTGTAGACAGCAAATAACGTGGTCTGGGGGAAGGAGCGGAAGGTACAGAGCAAGTTTTGGTGGGAAACCTCCGAAACTGTAGGACCGTCTCCGGAGCTGGAGGGGCTGGGAGCGGCTCTGGGGCCGGAGGCTCGCCGTGCTTCCGAAGCGGGGGCTGCAAAGGGGTCTCACCCCGTGGGCAGCTTTGATGTTTTCAGGTTCATAGCTCTACTCGTAACCGTGTGTGAGAAGACTTACAGCCAGTAAGCTGTTGCTCCTCAGTCCGGGTCGGTAGCTTTTGGCCCCTCACCCTCAGCCGCTCAGTGCCATCAAGAACTGCTTAACAGCCAAGTCTGAGCGGCTTATTGCGTTATAGGAGTACCCTTACTGCTGTAAACCGAGTGAAAAGATGTTTGCTAAACACAAGTGCCTTCGGCAGCCTTAATTCCGAAAAGGTCGTGGGGGGTTTCTGTTAAATGTCCTGCTACAGAGCTCGTGGAGGCGCGGGGAGAGAAGCAAGTAGGGAGCGGTGGCTTACAAGCACCGCCTGGACTAGGAAGGAGGCTTTCCTACACCCGGCCTAAACTCAGCCACTTTGCCTAAACAACTGACTTTTCTTCCCCAGCATCGCTTTCAGAAAATCCTTTGGGGGCACCTCCTTTTTTTGTCCGCCAGAAGAATCAACGGTGTCCGAAGCCTGCGAGGCTTCGCGGGAGGAGGATGGGAAGAGCAGGAGGGTGCCAGTGCAGATGGGGAGACCCGGAGCGTGCGGTGGGTGGTCGGAGCCCGTCTAGACTAGGAGTGAGTATGGTGCTGGCCAACACCCTGACAGCGTCTAGCGTTACATGAGTCATGTTGACTTGGTGTTGTCCCCCTCTTGGGGAGAGCTGAGGCTTTTGACAGAACAACCTGGTCTGTGCTGAAGTGTTTGATGCTGTCTGAACTGGGCTTGGAACGCGTCACGATAAAAGTATACCAAAATGACGCAAGATAAGCTGTATTTCACTGACTGTCGTAACTTTTGCTCTACCTTGTGAAGAGAGCTGCCTGCGCTGTTTCTTCCCTTTCAACAAACCCTGATAACTGCGGGGAAACGGCCCAGCTCCTGCACTGTCCCCTCGGGTCACGTCGTTAACACCGAGCGTGCTTCCAGCAGGCAAAGCGAGGTGTCCGGGGGGTGAATCCCAGCTCGGGGGGGACCTCTGCCCGTCCGGGGAGCTGAGATCCTTGGGTCTGCATCCCGTAACGCTGAGGGAGAAGGGGGATGTGGAACAGGAGGCCCCTCGTCCCCTTTCTGCAACGTAAGCAGTCACCCCAAGAAAGATGCTTCACCTCCTTTGTGTAAGCTATTTGATTTTAAGAGGAGGGTTCAGGACTAACTAGTCTGACCTCGATGGTCTGAAGTGCTTTGGAAATGATTCTGAAGAGGAGGATAACTAAAGCCATAGGAAAAAATGGGAATGGGTCAAAATACAACATAGATTTACCAAAAATGGATTGTACCCCCTCACCTCTCCTCTGGACACGAAATCCTTTTCTGGATAAAGGGATCGGGGCAGATCTAATGTGTCTGGACTTCTGCAAAACGTTTGATACTCTGCCACATGGGTGGAAGTGGAGAAGATGAGGATGAATACGAGAATTGTGGGGGAGGGACTGGCTAAAGCAGAGACAGCGGCTAGTTGCCGGAGGGTCGCCCCGGTCTGGAGAGAGGTCATGGCAGAGCTGCTGGAGGATGAAATCTTGGAACGGTCTTTTCGAATGCGGTTTTTCTCATGACTTTGGCACAGAAGGTGCGTTGAGAAAATTGTCACAAAACGCTGTTGGGCTTTGTTAGCGCGGCAAAGATTTGGGATGCCGCGCAGAAGAAACCAGACGACCTTGAGAACCAGAGCAATGGAAATGAGGCAGAATTTGGTCAACGCCTGTGCAGGGCTGATTTAGTCCTAACTGTGCAAATAATCCTGTCGCTTACAGACAGTTTAATTCAGGTCGGTTTTCCTGTAGGCCTCTTACATACCTTAGACTTCTGCCCTTCCAGCTTGCTCCCAACTCTTCTACCACTTTGCAGCAGCCGCTCTAAGCAACGGCAGCCGTGTGTTGGGCACGTGTGCGTGCCGATTGGCGTCGGACTGACACCAGGACGGGAGAAGAGCTGGTTAAGCGGAAGGTAGTTGGTGTGAGTGCAAGAAAATGTGCGTGAGCCGCCATAAACAGTCTGGAAATGGGAATATTTCTAATAATTGCAGAGAGAAATGCTTAAGTGTTAAAAATACAAATTTTGGGATGAATGTCAAACAACGCTATGAAGGAAATCACCAATGTGGTGCTTCCGACAGGATTCGATGTGAAGGCTGAGAGCCTGTCTTCAGGTCCCTCTTCCTTGGAAGGAACAGGTACCGTGTTGAGACTTGGGTGAAACGCCTTGAAGTTGGTGAACGGAGGAAAAATCGGTTGCGCTTGTTCGCAGTGTGGATAGACTCCTGCGGAGCAGCTACTCCTGGGAAGGTGCCCAGGGCTGGGCAGGCGTGGGCTGAGGCGGGTTGGGACCGGGGCAGGGGCTGAGTCCCCATCCCTGGAGGTATTTAAAAGTCGGGTGGATGTGGTGCTCGAGGACATGGTTCAGTGGTGGCCTTGGCAGTGCTGGGTTAACGGTTGGACTCGATGATCTTACGGGTCTTTTCCAACCTTAACGATTCTGTGATTCTATGATCTGGGCGTAGATCAAGGGAGCGGGGTGTTTTGGATGCGGTGCCGTGCCGGGAATGGCTGTGGTGCTGTGGAGCGTGCGGAGGAGGCCGCCAGCAAACTTCATTATTTTAGGGGTCAAAAAAGCAAGAACCCTCAAGTGGAGCAACTCCGGCAAAACAAAAAGGCTTGGAATGGGACTCAAAGGTGTTTTCTCTACCGCGGGTTGCCATCTTTGAGGGAGATGGCTGGTGCGCACTTCCGCCCTTCGCTGCCATCTTTCTATTGCGTTTTTTGCTATTAGAATCAACTCAGAGTACTGCTAAGTATTGGATAAGGAGTAAAGGACCTTAATGAAAACAAATACTCAGTCCTCTGAAGGAGTAAAGAAGCTCATCCGCGGACCGAAAAGCCCAAACTGTCCGCTTTTAATAAACCCTTCCCTGGTTTTGTTATTGGCAGGCAGAGTCTTTTAAAGTCTGAGGGGCTTTTTTAGTAGTCTTAATTCTTTAGGATTAATGCTACGTTGAATTTGCCCGGTAACTTTAAGATGTGCCTGTCTGAAAACCAAGCTTCGTGGATATTTGGTCTGATACTCTTAAGTCAGCTCAGAAGACGGCGGCCTCGTCTTCTCGCTGGAGGTTCACGCTGGGACTTGGCGGCTGCCTGCGGAGCCTCGTGGTGCTCAGCTCTGGCACCAATCTGACCGGGCCGGAGTTTGCAGAGCCCTCCTGGTTTCGCATTCCTCCCGTTGCTCATCGCGGCAAGGGGCGCGGGGCCTCTTCTGACCTCGTGCGGCATAACCTCCTTCAATACTGAAGTAGCAGCTTTTGAAGGTGCGTTGGTGGAGTCACTCTTGTGAGTCGGGGGGACTTTGGCGTCCTGGAGGCACCGTCCCCTGCTGCCGTGCGGGTGGTCTGGCCCGGCCCTGCCGCTTCTCCTTTGAACTAAGAAGTGGGATTGCTTCGTGGCCGTGCGATGACTTGCCAGTATCTCGTCGGGCTTGGCTCTCCTCTGGCGCTGCTGCCAGCGCTGTGTGCTGGTGGTACGTGGGATGATATTAGCAGGAGGATGGATCAGGAGCAGGGCTTCGTCATGGAAGAAAATCCAGGTTGTAAAATGCGCTCGGAGTTCTTGTGTCGCTTTGCCAGAATGAAAATCCCTTCTTTCGCTGTTTTGCAGATGCTTGTGTTGACAGTATAATTCCCGCTCAGCGTGCCAGAAAGGTAATAGAAACCATACTTGATAAAACGGCACCAGACCTGAAAGCTAAGCGGCTGAACTGTGATCCCGACTACTAGTCAGGATAGTTATAATAGTCAAAATAACTAGTTGTTCTTGGCATGCACTCTTCTGGGGGTGATAACTCATTTTCCAAACTCCGACAGCAGAAGTACCTCGGGGTTTAGAGGGGCAGGAACGCCTCCTCCCCTCTCCTGCCTAGTCCTGCTTTTTAAATCAACATGTAGAAAATGTTTATCAGTCGCAGTGAAAAATTAAAACTGGTTAGTCAGTGTTGCTCTGGCTCTGCCAGCAACAGCGCGTGTTGCTTTCGGCTGCTCCGGGCCTCGTCCGCCTTGCCTGCGTGGGCACGGCGAGCTGCCCGAGTCTGGCGGGACGCGGAATTGTCTTCATTCCTTCACAGATGTTGATGTTTAAAGTCAGGCGAGCCTGGTTGTCTTCGTTTGCTCGGAAGATCGTTGGCTGTTGCTGTAGGTGGGAAGACAAGTTAATTGGGGGAATTAATAGATTTGCAGTTGTGCAAATTGAGGTTTAATCTTTGGAGCCTGCTCAACCTCCTGGGTTGATTTTTAAGTCTCTGGGGAGTTGTGCTCTGCTGGTTCTTGATCACAGCATCAAGAGTTATTGGCGGTCTGCCTGTTCTTGATAGCTGACAGACGCACGTTGAGGTAGCCCCCGTTGGCTAAGAGCGCTCCTGCGGGCAGTTGCCCCGCGCCGCCGAGACGCGGCGACGCGCTGGCCGCTGGCCGCATCGGGAGCTGGAGGACGTGGTTGAGGTCCCTCCGAACTCTGTTCCTGGGAGCTTGCGTTGGTGAGATGGTGACAGCTTCAAACGAAGCTCATGAACTGTGTTCTTACCTACAGCGAAGGGACTCGGAGAGATGGGGCCGTTACTGATCTCGCCCGCAGCGACGCAGGCTTTATATTTGTGAAATGAAAAGGCAGGTGGGCTTCTCTCTTTCTGCGAACGGCGATTGATAACGTTTTGTTTTGTTTTGTTTTTCTGACAGAGTGGAAACAGCTTCCATGTGTTTGACCAAGGCCAATTTGCCAAGGAGGTCCTTCCAAAGTACTTCAAACATAACAACATGGCCAGCTTTGTACGGCAGCTCAATATGTGTAAGTATCTTCTGGGCAGCTCGGAGCGCAGAGGGTAACGTTCGTCCTGAAATAAGGTTCCTCTCTTCTCCCCAGGTTTAGCGTAAGGGTTTCATTGAGCTGGGAGCATTTGCTGGCTTTGCAGTCAGTTTTTGGGGACCGAGAGGTAGTTTTAAGCTTGGCCTCTGCTGAAGGGAACAACAACTTCTAAAAGTGAAAACTTCTGCTGGATATAAAGAACTTCAGACTCTCAGGCTTCTTTTATCTTGATATTTCCTGATTATTAGCGCAGGAGTTCTGCCTGCTTTCCTTGCGTTCGCCCGTCGTTAACGTTTGCGACGGCACTCTGTGTCGTGACGGAGGACCTCCTCTGGAATGCTTCCAGTGCGACAGGACCACCACGTGTGACGGCTTCTTCGCTTTCTACTGGCTTTCTGGAGGGGATGTTGCTGCCAGCGTCGCGTAGAGCGGCCATTGTCTGAACTTCCTCGTCTAAGCAGCAATTATTTAAAAAAAAAAAAAAAATCCACAGAATCAGAGCAGAATAAGGCTGGAGGGACCGCACAGTCGTTTAGTCCCGTTCTCTGCTCAAGGCAGGATCAACCACCTCTCGGTTGTTCCTGATGACTTGGCATCTAACCTATGTTTTCCAAGCCTCCAGTAATCAGGATTCCAGGAGTTCACCAAGGGAATGCCGTTAGTGTAAGGACAGCGAAGCCGTGGAGTTGGTTGCTGAATGTCTAACCCACACCTTCCTGGCTACAGTTTAAATCCTCCACTTCTCTCCTGTCTGCTGTGGATATAGAGAGATTTATTCCTTTTCCCTTCGCATCAGCCTTTGTGTCTTTGAAAACTTGATACCCCTCCTCAGACGTCTTTTTTTTTTTAGAGTAAACAGCCTGGGTTTTTAATTCTTGTAGTTTGTTTTCCAGCCTTTCACCACTTGCATCCCGTTCTGACCTGCCTTTGTTCCATCTCTTTGCTGAGGCGCAGCGGCCAACGCTGAGCGTGTCACTGGGCAGAAGAAAAAGCGCAGTGCCTGGGTCTCGAAGGCGACACTTCTGTGTCTGTCCCATGATGGCACTGGCCTCTTTCTCAGCACCGTGACATCGGCTTTTATGCTCAGCTCATGATCCACTACGGCGTTCAGATCATCTTCTGCTCAGCTACTGTCTCCCCAGTGGTTTTCCCCCCCCATATTTGGTTTTATCCCTGCCTCAGAGGTGTACCTTGTATTTGTCGGGAGTGACTTTCGTTCCTCTTGTCCGAATCACTTTGAATCGTGTCTTCCACATACC